TGTATTTAAATACTATAATGTGTAAAAAAGTCCATACGGTAATTTATATACCGTAATGTTTTGCTTACCTAGATAGAAAAAAGAGGAGGCGTTATCTTTAAAAATCACTGTAGGAAGACTCGCTTCATCTTCAAAACTGGAGGCTTCGCAGACTCTCTCTCTCCCTCCTCCATAAATCTAACAACACACATCTCTTCAAATCACAGTCTCTCCCTCTTGCCCCCCTTTCTCTTATCTCCATTCCTCATCAGTTGCAGAGAATCTATCTTTCTCTCACTAGTTGCATACAAAAAACATTTATCTTACAACAAGGTCAAAATGCCTAACGCTATTGTCGCTCTCTCCTCTGCTCCTCCCTTCTCTCTCGTCCAACTAATGCTCCACTCTCTTCCCCCTCACACCTCTGCAACTCAACAAAACCCTGCAATTGACCATTTTCAGAATGACACCTAAAAATGGCAAATTCAATATATTTATTAGAGAGAGAGAGCAATCCCGTATTAAAATCCCTTGGATTTCATAAGGAGAAAGACCTCCGTGGAGGGGAATTCTCGCCATCTAAATAAACCATTGAGAAAACCACTTACAGTGTAGGAGAGAGGTACGCTTGATATTAGCGTCAGTTTAAGCTTTTCAACCAATTATAATAATAATAATAGTGTAAAGAATATATTAATATATTACGGTATACCCTAATGTTCTTTACAATATTTAAATTACCGTTTAAAATATCCTAAGAATTACGGTATATAAATTACCGTATGGACTTTTATACACATTACGATATTTACCGTATGGACTTTTCTACACATTACGATATTTAAATTACCGTAATGTTCTTTATGGTAAAAAAAACTACCGTGAAGGGTATTTTCGTAAAAAAAAGATAAAAAATTGGAAAAAAGGGTGTAGGCGAGGTTTTGAAAAGTTTGAGGTTTTTTTTTCTAATTTTATTAAAATATAGGTATATTAGCAATAATTACCATTCATTTTATGAATATAATTTGGCATTCGATATATCGCTACAATTAGCACTATGACGTGGTACTCTCTAAATTCCTCATATTGTTTGATTCTTATATTTCGCTTATGTCTGATTCTTATATTTTCATTTGTTTGCTTTCTGACGTAGTCTTTCCATTTGTGTTTGATTATAGGTTTAATTATTCTTTTCTTTTAATTATCCTATTAAAAAGTCGTGATATTCTAATGCATTTCATATGTTAAGCAACCTAGTTCTAGATAAGCACCTCTTTCGTCAAACATCCATCTTAAACATGGAGGTTGAAATGCGTGGATGATATAAAAAACATAAACAAAAAATAATAAATTTTTTTATTTATATTTTTTTATATGAGTAATGATCCTGTAAGACCCTCTCACTCTCATGTGTGTAAGACACCAAAGGATCACCATTAAATTTGGCACAGATCTCTGAAAAAGTCAAGTCCCACACCTATGTCATAACGTTTTTTGAGATCTATACTAAATTTAATGGTGATCCTTTGAGGTTCTACACACATGGGTGTAGGAGGTCTCATAGGATCATTACTCTTTTTATATTCGCCTTCACCATGATGATGAGATTATCAACCCTTAGATTTTTGGATCTAAATCCATCTCTAAGCTGAATTTTGGTGTGCGGGTGAAATCGCTGAAACCTTATCCCAAACAAGAATGGCCTTTCTAACAAATCCATGCTTTTCATTTATACAGGAATGAAGCGTAGTTCATCAATATGATTGTCGAGAGGGTGCTGCTACATGAGCTCAATAAGATCCCCTTACATGTGGCTGAACACCCTGTTGCGGTCGATTGAGAACTTGGTGAAAATGCTGAATCAAAAAGACCTTGGAGTTCGAATTGTCGGGATCCTTGGGCCAAAGGGGATCGGGAAGACCACCATTTCTAACGCCCTGTACAATCTCATGGCGCATTTCTTTGACGCTGCTTCTATCATGGTAAACATCAGAAAATCAACATCCCTAATCAAACCGCAAAACAAAGATCACAAAGAGTGAGAGCCTGGATGTGGCAAACACAAGCTGAGGAGTCAATGTGATCAGAAAGAGAAGAAAAGATAAGAAAATGTTAGTGATTTTAGATGGTGTTGACAGTAGAGATCAAATTGATGCTTTGGCTTGCATGAAAGAATGCCTCCATCCTGGGAGTAGGATGATAATCACTTGTAGAGAAAAGTAATTGCTGAAAGTAGTGAATGAGATTTATGTTGAGCAACCAGTTGATCAACACAACAAACATGGATGAGTGGGAAGAGACATTGAAAGAAGCGATGAAACTTGGATTAATGGTCCAGTAATGTTTTATTATTGTAAGGAGAATGATATATCGTTTCTTTTGTGGATAAAAGCTATTCATATTCCATTGTTTATGGTTTGAAGTGAGAAATTTGGAAGATGTTAGGGGGCCATGTCACTTCTTAACTTTTAGAGAGAGAAACTATCTCAAATTTTTTATCGAGAGAAACTATATCACATTTTTTGTTTTAAAGAGACAAGTCTCTTAAAATTTCGAAGAGAAAAACTATATCAAATTTTTGAGAGAAAAAGTACTTGAAATTTTTAACGACTGAAACTATCTCAAAATTTTTAGAAAAAAAAACTATCTCAAATTTTAAGTTTTAGAGAGAGAAAATAACTTAAAACTTTAGAGAAAGAAACTATATCAAATTTTATAGAGAGAAATCAATTGAAAAACTTTAAAGAGAGAAATTATCTCAAATTTTTTAGTGAGAAAGGGTCTCAAATTTAATGAAAAAATATATTATAATGAATAATACAATAAAAATATTTAATAAAAACTTAAACAAAATCATGAAAACATTATGTATCTATGTACCATCCAAACAACATAAATCAATTTTATAGGAAATATTTTTATCAAGAAGTACATTTCAAAGGAAATAATTTTTTTTAATGGATCCAAATGACCCCTAAATGACAAGTATTGGGGTCCAAGTAGATCATTGTACACGAAAGCTCGATAAAGTTAGATAATTCATCTTTATGCTAGGAACGACTCACGAAACCACTTTGCCTCCGCTTTTTTGTTTCACAAGAAAGCGCCTTGTCGTCCACCAATCAAAAGTGCCCTTTCAATATTTAAGAAAAGTGCCATGAACAACTTCAAGCCCAAACAGGGATTCTTTGAGACTTGCTAATTTTGGAAAATAAATATTTTTGTGATTTATTTGCTTTTATATTTAAAATCATTTATTAACTATAGCACGACAAGATTGATAAAAAATTAGACAAAACTGACATTTGTTTGATTTTCAAACCGCGAAGTTTGAGCAGTGGAACCATTAAAATAGTATGAAGAACTTTTTGTAACCTATCATTCGTTTTTTTATGGGGCTATGTTAGGGTGTTCCTACTATAGAGCATATTATAATTGTGTATAAAAAATTTATATATTTTTGTTTTGTACAAAAAAACATTTGTTCAGTAAAGGTAATTTTGACTATTAAAAAAGGTATGACGTCATCTACATGATGTGACAACACCTACATGGAATACACTAGTGGCATTTAATGCTCCATGCGGGTGATGTTTCAACACTCTTAGATAATGTTACATCCCCTACTAATGGCAAAAAATACTCTTATTAAAAAATATTATATTATAAAACAAGAGTATATTAGTATCCAAAATTTATAATGTGAGCACCCTAACGTAACCCTTTTTTATTGTACTAAAATTATCATCGGACCATTTTGACAAATGGTTAAAACAGTTTTGATTGGACCAAACCCATTCAATGGTTGGCCCAATTCTACATTGAATACCCTTTTGAGTTTCATTAGTTATTTTGTCTAAAAACTATGGAGAACATACCTTTTTCTTTAAGGGAAAGCTTTCTATGACCCCATTCACATATATAGCAAATGTGACCTTGGGTCTCAAATCAGACTAGATAGTTGAGATGGCTTAAATCAGAACATCACAAGCTAATTCTTAACCAAGATCTTGATCAGATGGCTCATAGTTTTTTATTTTTTATTTAATTTTACCAATAATTTTGAAACAAAATTTGGGGCATGCATAGATCTGACAGGGGTGCATATGATTAAAAAATAATAATAATAATTCATGTGATGAAAAATTATCAAAATACCCCTGAAAATTTTAGGGGCGTTTTGGTCATTTATTTTAACATAAAATATTTGTTTTTTTATTTTTTCAAGTTTGTTTTAATTTTAGGATGGGATGTCTAAAATTTCATCCAAAAGTGTTTCGTACAAACAAAATAGAAAATAAAACAATGTTTGGCATGACATTATGGTATGAGCATTTCTGACTGTTCCATTCAGATCGAACAGCTAAAAAGTGCAGTCACATAAAACTCATATGTTATTGAGGCCACATAGAATCATTGCTCTTTTTTTTGAAGGCATTGGTAAACAAACATTAAAAAAGTTGGAATCCTCAGTAGTTGCATAGAACGAAAAGTAGTCATTTTCCAAAACACATCCGCTCGTACCTCTTTTTTTTTTCCTTTCTTTTTGAGAAATAGTGGCAAAATTTGTTACGGGAGTGATGGTTCTCCGCCCACAGGAACATCCGTCTTTCTTCAGTTTAAACCACCTAATTTCTCTCTCTATTTCTCTCAATATGGGTGAGTCTCTTGAGGTGGTGGTCTTGAGTGTTAAGGTGTGAGTAAAAGCACTTTTAGTTTGTGTAAGGTCTAAAGCATTTATAACATCAAGAAGGAAATGCTGAAAATATTTTTTTTGTTGTCTCGAAGTTTTTTCAGCCTTAAAATGAACAGAAAAAAAACAAATCTGTGTATTATCAACATAAATAATAATAAAAAAAAGTGTGCGGAGAGAGACTTATTGTCCGACATTTCCATGAATCTTGAATTTTGTATAGGTTGATGTCTGTTGTTTTATCCCTGTTGTCCCTAACCTGCACCTCTTATTCTCCCTGGATGCAAATTCTCAACTGTTCATTCAGATCTTTCAACACACATCTGAATACCAAATTCTCAATATTCTTGATCTTTCAAAATATAAAAGCAAAAAGAAGAATAAATGGTTGTATATTTACGGCAATGGCTCTATTTTGTATAAAGAAATAAAAATAATGACAAGAGCAAAAAAACTAAATAGTGTCATCGCCCCTAGCATCTTCCTAATCTCTACCTTCAAACCACCAACAATTGAATAGGAATAGTGAACCGTCAATCCATTTTCACCAAACTCCATACTTCTTTCTTCTTTTTTTTTGGGTGAATAAAATTCATACTTCTTTCCACCATCCCCAACGTATCTTTCCACTCATCCATACATCTTGTGTCCATCAACTGGGAGCCCCATTTCTCAATAGTTGAAGGTATACCTCCGGTGGCCAAAGCTATACTTTTAGCGATATCGACATAGCCTTCTTCTGGTTCCTCTGTCCCAAATGCATGTTGACAAAACAGTAAGAGAGATTGCTCCGCATCCAACTCATTCACCTTATAAATCTCATTCACTACATTCAACAATTCCTTTTTTCTAGAAGTGATTATAATCCTACTCCCACGATGGAGCCATTCTTTCTTGCAAGCCAATGCCTGGATTTGATCTCTACTCTCAGCACCATCTAAAATCACTAACACTTTCTTATCTTTTATTCTCTCTCTCATCACATTGACTCCTCTGCTTATGTCCCCCACATGCATTGTCTTATTCTTTGTGATCTCGCGCAAAAGTTGGTTTTGCAGTTGGATTAGGGATGTGGATTTTCTGATGTCTAGGATGATAGAAGCGTCGAAGTGATGGGCGATGCGATTGTACATGGCCTTAGCAATGGTGGTCTTCCCAATCCCCTCTGGTCCAAGGATCCCGACAATTCGAGCTCCAGGGTCTTTTGGATTCAGCATTTTCACCAAGTTCTCAACTTGTGAATCAACCGCAACAGGGTATTCGGCCACATAGTAGGTGATCTTATTGAGCTCATGTAGCACCCTCTTGACAATCATATTGATCAAGTCCGCTTCATTCCTGTATAAAGGAAATCATTTGTCAGAAATTCCATTTGCCTTTGATTATAGATAAGGTATCAATGAGTCCACCGAGTCGTCCATTTATATGAGTCCTCTCTTAGAGATGGATTTTGGATCTAAAAATCTAAGTGTTGAGAATCTCACTATGGTGAATGTGATTATAAAAAACGTAAACAAAAAATAATGTTTTCTTTTTTTGTTTTTTTTTTAACATCCTCCATTTTAAGTTTTGAGGTGGACAACACATTCCCATATCCATATTTAAGATGGATGTTTGACAGCAGAGGTGCTTATCTGGAACTATGTTGCATAACACAATGAAATGCATTAGAATATCACCACTTTTTAATACGATAGTTAAAAAGAAAAGCATAATTAAGCCTATAATAAGGGGTAAGAAGCATAAATGGAAAGACCAATCAGCTGAAGGGACATAAATGAAAATATAACAATCAAACGACACGAGGTACCACGGGCATAGTGCTAAATGTGAAGTTATATCCAACAGCAAATCATATTGATAAAATCAAAGGAGGAGAAAATATTTATTCTTATTTCTAGTTCTTTCTCTGTTTTTTTTTTTTTGAATATCAAAAATTCCAAGGGAGTTGTTATTCACTTCTACATTTTATAAGTACCTTAATAACATGCTTTAACAAGTACAAAGTAATCTTCAACAACCATAATAATGCCGCAACAATAACAAATTATCAGGTAATATTAAAGAAAAAAAGAGGCTAAAGTATTAATAGGTTCTAGCAGGCAAAACAATGCTAGCTCAAACCTATTCCTTTGGCTCGGTACGTAGATTTTGTGGCCATAATTGTCATTTCAACCAATATTTTTGTTATTCTTTTTTTAATGTTAATGTTTTATTTGTTGCTTCCATATCTAAGTAATGCAAACCATCGAGTGAAAGATACTAATGGGACAAAATAAGAACTTGTTTATGGATTGAATTTAGAATGCAATGCTATCAGCAAATAAGAGGTTTAGAGCAATAAATTTGTCCAAAGAACTATAGTAGAAGGCCAAACCGACCTACTGCTTGGAAGAGGTCTACCCTTCATGGTTGGCATTTATATAAGATATACCTCAAACTGCTCGAGATATTTTTTTGTTTTGGGCCTATCCCTTGCTCTTTTTAATCTTTCCACTTGAACTAACTTGCACCTCCTTATAGGTGTTGTACTGGGTCTAAGTCACACATGACCAGTCCACCTAAGTCTACTCTATCTCATCATATCGCTTATTGGTGCCATACTTAAATTTCTCGAATGGATTCATTTCGAATTTTATCCATTCTTGCATTGCCACTCATCCATCTCAACATCCTTGTCTCTACTACATTCATTCTATGGGTATACTGTTTTTTGTCTGCCCAATATTCCACTACATAGAGTAAAGCTGGTGTCCCAACTGTCCTATAAAACTTACACTTCAGTTTAATTGGTATGTGGTGATCACATAAAATTGTAGTTGCACAACACCACTTCTCCATCTCAACTTTAATTATGTGTGCGGCATCTTCGTCAATTTCTCCATTTTCTTGGATTATCGTCGTAATATATCAAAAGTGTGGTCTTTTTGGTACTTTCTAATTGTCAATTTTAACTATTTCCTCGTCTCTAATCCTATTATTACTAAACTTGCATTCATGTACTCAGTCTTAGTCTGGCTAACTTTAAAACCTTTGGCTTCTAAAGTATCTTGCACACATTTCTAATTGTAGTCGCATAGGGAACACCAGAGATACAATCCTCTTTGGTATCAATAAATCGCAATAATGTGGCTAATAATATGAAATGTTTATAAAGAGTACTTAAGAACTTTGACTTCTCCATCTTAAATCTAGTGATGACATTCTCAATGTAATCTTTCTGAGATAGGCACAATTCGCTAAACTTTCTTTCTCTACATTTCTCTATGGCGAAAATTTTTTAATCAAACCCAAATCTTTCATCTTAAATTATCCACAAAGCTAAGTCATCCCCTAAATTTTTGAAGAGTTCGTTGCAGCAATAAGCATATCATCCACATAGAGGAACAAATAGATAAATGAATCATCAATAAAATCTCTTATTTAAAATAGACACAGTTTTCATACTTACTTCTAACTTGTGTAACCAGAGTTTTATGTTATTGCCGCATATCAATGAAGCTGAAGGAAAAGTTCTATAACACAACTTTGAGACTATCTTTACTTTCTAGGGCAGATTGTTGGGTGGTCAAAAAATAAAATACTTGTAGAATGACTGTAGCTGAGATGAGAATGTTGAAATGGATGAGTAGCAAAATAAGAAGGCAAAGAATTCAAAATGGATACATTCAAGAAAACTTAGGTGAGGTACTAATCGGCGATAATATGAGAAATAGCAGACTTATGTGGGCTAGTCATATGTGGCACAGACCCAGTAAAACACCTATTAAGAGGTGAGAGTTAGTTCAAGTAGAAAGCTCAAAAAAGGTAAGGGTAGGCCCAAAAGGATATGGTTGGAAGTAGTGAGAAAAGATATGGGGACCTATGGCCTTGCTGAGGGTATGACCCTTAATAGAGTAGAATGGTGGATAAAGATTTGTGTAGTTAATCCCAATTACTTGGGGAAAAGCTTGTTTGATGATGATGATCATCATCATCATACTTCGAACATAATAGCGTCTAATCATGAAAATATCAAAACGTTTGTACCATTGGCTCGCCTAAGAGACTGTTTAGGCTGTACAATAACTTCTTCATTTTGCATATACATTCCTATATTTTCCTTTGGGTACAAATTATTTAGGGTGTACCATATAAATTTGTTCCTCGAATTCTGCATGCACGAAAATGATCTTAACATTAAGCTTCTCCAACTGCAATTCAAATCATGCAACCATGGTTAATAACGTATAGAGTTGTACTTCACAACTAGTGAGAAGATCTTACGTAGCCTACACTTTCCCTCTGTGCATAGTCTTTGGCAATCAATTGTGCCTTGAACCTATCACTACTAAACTCAATGATGTCTTCTTTTTTTTTATAAACTAATTTACATCCAATGGCTCTTTCACTTTTGGGCAATTTCATGAAATCCCAAGGATTACTTTTCTGAAGAGACTCCAACTCTTCATATATGGTGTCACCTCACCTGCTACTATTAATGTTTTATATACCTTCCTCAAAAGTTTATGACTCTTGACTTATAGAAATTAATGTATAAGCTACCATGTCCTCAAAACTATACCATACCCACTCTCTTATTTGATCTCTTTCCCTTTCGGAGTCTCTTCCTCACGTGCAGTAAGTTCAACGATATGCTCAAGGTTAATATTCTTTGCTAATTTTTCATGAGGGTTTACTAGCACATATTTTAGAGTATTTTTTTGAGCTTTGAACTCCAACTCAAAGGCATCAGCACCACTGTTATTGCCCCTTCTGCACTCTTATGATTGTGCTTGGACATGGAAAATTCATCAAACTTAACATGAAAATTGATAATAAACCTAAGCAACTTAAGGTTTGGGTACCATAACTTATAGCTTTTAGCTCCATTCACATAACCGAGGAAAATACACTTCTTGAATCTCTGACTCAATTTAGCAACCTTCACATGGACATACATAACATAACAAAAAGTTCTTAAATGATAAAAATAGCAGCTTTACCAGTCGTTTATACGTAAAAATCTCGGGGGAGATGACTCGAAGTCTATGCTTTGATTTGCGTTAAACTAAATTAAATTAGAAAAATCAGTAAAGAATGTGGATTCTATCAAATTACAGACTACGTGAGGTTGGCCCCAAGAACTCTTTTTCATACTCTGTCAGCAGCCTCTATTATATTCTCTCAAAAACTGAAGGAAAGCTTATAAGTAATTTTGGAAATCAAATGACGTTTGAAAAGCCTTAGAAATATAAAAGAACTATGAATAGCAAAAAAGAAAAGCAAGGAAAAGGACTAACTCGACTAAGCTAGGCACAACTTACTTTCAAACAAGGTTATTTTGAACTTCTCTAGAAATATGTGAAGAGAGCTAGTACAGTTGAGGGTTCATCCTAAGATCTACCTGAGACTCTTTGGGATTTACATTGACTTAAGGCTTAGAGGTCATGGTCTTCTAAAGTTTCAGAGGCCTCTAGAGTTCATAAAGTCACCAGGAATTAGGGATAAGAATTTCTAGTTCTTAGATGTAAAATAGTCCAAAGGACAACATGGCCTCAAACAATCCAATACCTAGGCTTTCAACCGTAAAACTGGCAAGGAATGAGAGAAATTGTAGAAAAAATCCCTTGTATACGTTAGTCAATCTTGGTCATTTATGATCCAACAATAACCTAGCCGCATGCTTCGCATCTCTAGAGATGCTCTTTGCATTGTTGCATTGATTTGGCTTCCGATTGTGCTGGTTGTCCTGCCAACTTCTTGCATGTTTGTCTATTGCCAATTTTTTACCGTTATGGTCAATCAATCTTTCAAGTTTGAAACATTCTATTTCTCGCCTTAATCTTAAATTCGGTAAAGCAGGGTCTAATTAGGATGATTAAGGGCTAATTAAGTTCATATAGGGCTAGGATTATCCCAATCTAGGCTTAGACAGTTTAGGAAGGTTTCAAAGTACGTTTAGGTTAAGCACATGGATTTAAACTAACAGGATTTAACTTAATTAGGCAAGTTAGGTGAATTGAGTGTTTTCCGAAAGATGGGGCTCCATGATGCTTTGGGCGGTTACTATGGATAACTAGCCTAGTGTGGTCCCTACTAGGTCTAGAAGATTACTCAACATGCTACAGGCCTTAGGTGGAGGTATGTATACAAGGTGACATCTACTAATTGACTTTGTCCAGGCCTGTAGCATGTTGAGTAATCTTCTGGTCTTTAGGTGGAGGTAAGTGATAGTGCCAAAGAAATCTCCTTAACTAGCGAAAAACTCTTTAACGGCCCCTCCACTTAGAAGGTCGCTGATTTTCTGCTCTTTTGTTCCCCTAAAATAAAATTAACAATAATAATCTAAGCTTCACTCTCAGCCATAACCTGGCCAATTACGCAGCCGTATGTTTTTAAGCATGCACATAGAAAGGCACCTATCGTGAACTACTCCATCTTTCGTGCAAAACATCTGAGCAATTCGTACCACCCAAATGCTGTTTACTAAGGATCTTAACCCATATGAATTTTAAATTTCATGAATTAACATTTTTTAAAAAAACGTAGGGAGCAATGTCTTCCCCATATGAATTAACATTTTCAGAAAAAAAAAGAAAAAGAAAAAAAAGGGTAAAAAATCACATGTGAACCGAGCCTATTGCGTTAAACCTACATTCATTTGACTCTGCTCCTCTTATTTTCTCTACATTAGGGTTTCAAAACTAGGCTGAGTCCCTGTTACTCGTCCGTTGCCTCTCCGCGTTCTTAACCGATCCATGATTTATAGTACAAACTTGGATAAGATTAAAAAATTATTTAAAAAATATAAAAAGTATATGTTGTGGAAAATCAACATGTAAATCATTCACACATAATTTTTGGTGTTTTAGATAATAGTTTATGAGAGTCATCTCATACGCTCTATTTCTATATTTTCACTTTTTTTTTTATTCTTTTGAAATGCTTCAAGGAAGCTCAAGTCACTGGGGTCAGTAGGGCCCAAATCGTGAGTCCAAGCTGAGTAAATTATCCTTCCCCAGACAATATTTCCTTTGTTGGATATTGTGCTCATGTATATGCGCATGTGTGAGCCAACTTGGTGGAAGTTTGTTGGAACGAAACATGATTAGGTATCTTCATTTATTTGGAGCAATGGTCTCAGATTCGTTTCGAAATCTTCTTTGACTTTGCGAGAAAAATGAAGTAATTCAGCCGATTCAGGAAAAGATTTCAGAATTTTTTTAAAAATTTAATATAAATAACTATATATAATATATAAAAATAATAGAAAAATTAAAAATTAAAAATAAAAAAATACTTTTATATTGGTATTTATCTTCTGACCAAAACAGCCTAAAGCTTCGGCCGAATCAGAACCAAAGCAGCCCGAAGCGGCCCAAATCTGGCCAAAGTGACAGCACCTCGCTTCTCTTCACTTCACTTTGGTTTATGCTTAAAATCCGAAGGCTTCGGCCTCTTCGACCGAAGCGAAGCGAATTTGATAACTTTGATTTGGAGGGTTAGGTAATAAGGGCTTACTTAAAAAGTATTAGTTGCATACTATGTTTTAAAATCAATCGGTCCGGATCAAGAATTCATACAGGCCGATCTCATTCCTCGTTGATCTGGGAATCGGCCGGGGTCCTATGAACTTGCCTGATGGAACTGGTTGATCCGGATTAGCCAAAATGCTCGGTTCCCACTTTTTTTTTTTTGTTTCCAAATTTTAAACTTTCATGGATTGATTACACCGGGGCAGAGATCCGATTAATAGATCTAGATCGGCAATTTTTCAATCAAGACCACCCTAATTTTTATTTTATTTTATTTTAGGCTTATCTAATGTTGTTTTCGGTCTCCCCCAAACCCCTATTTTAATTTTTATTTTATTTTCTAATTATTTTTGGGTCACTGGTTTGTACCGATCCAAATCAGCGATCCAACACAGATTTGTAAGGTGGAGGATTCACAGCATCAGTATGGCTTTTGAAACACTGGTTAGTTGATATGCAATTATTGATTTCATGACATTTTGAGTGCCACCAGGATACAAAAATTCATCCTTGCGCTTTTTTATATCCTGATCTAAGTTTTGATCCAAATGAAATACACTTATTTGTCTACATTTAAGATTACTCGAATTTAAGCCCTTGCTAATTCAGTATTTGGTTCGGCCTGCAAATAGATTCAGACTAACAATTGGTAAAATTATTTGATATTTAAGAATTTTACTAGATAATACACATCAAGAATAACTCAACGTTCCCACAGGCATGCATCATGCGAATTTATAATATAAGATGGAAATACAAAAACCAATTTATCGTTGTAAACGTGATATTCGGAATACAAATTATGTTGTTCAAGATGGTAATAAGGTAGGTGGTGATGATATTTTTGAAACTATCAAATATTGGATAGATTATAATTTCATAAAGTTTCTAACAGTCTGATGTCAAAAAATAAATAAATAAATAAATAGAAGAAGAGAGGGATGAGCTTCAACTTACTGATTTCCCATATTATCAGTCTCCCACCCATGCAACTCTCCAACATCTCTCAGAGCCGTCCGCCATGTCTCCAGAACATCCTTGTGATATCGCTCCTCGTGCTTCAAAAAGGACATCTTCAATGTTCCCTTTTGCTCTCGAACATCTCCGCGATCGACTCGGTAGAACACAGGAAGAATCACTCGCTTTTGTTCTAGCATTTGAACAAGTTCATTCAGGCACCACTTAGAGGATGCATAATCAACAGACAACACGGGAATGAACATTTGCGAACCCTCGATCGCCTTGTCGAGGCTTGGTCCAATCCTCTCTCCTTTCTCTAGCTTCTCATCATCCAAGAAAACACAGATACCTTCCTTAACCAGGTTTCTGTGGAGATGGGATGTGAAGTTCTTCCGAGTATCTGCACCCCTGAAGCTCAGGAAAACATCGAATCGATAACCATACACCAGATGGTGGTCAACATTTGCGTAGATCTCTTCTTCCATTAGAGGTTCCCTACAGTTTCTTCACTTTGCAAGGAATTCTCCTGAGATTTGTTCTGGTTTTGTCTCGAAATCGTGTGTAAGAGAAAGGAAAGCAACAACGCAAAAGTCGGTTGATTTCTTCTTCCATTAATAGTTCCAGAGTTTCTTGACTTTACAATTCTTGGAAGAATTCCACTGGAATTTTGATCCAAATACGCGTTTGGAAGGCAAAGGAATCAAAATCCAAAGACGGGTGTTAGTAAAGTCGAATACGATTGTTAAAATGTAGGAAGTAAGCAGTGGATTGGAGGTTGTGAAGAGGGTATAATATCTCCTTCCTTACTGTGATATTTTTAATGTGTGGTCAGGGATGAGTAGTACACAAGTAACAAGCTGCATTATTTTTGACGTAATTACCGTGTTACCCTTAAAAGCATCTGGTCCTTATGCTTCTGTGCGCTTGGTGGCCCAACTCTGCCTTTCTAGGGATAGGATACTCCTGATTTTGAGAGGATTGAGGAATTAAAGTAGAAAGATATATATATATATATATATATATATATATTATTTTCTTATTTTCACCTTTTTTTTTTTTGTCTTTTGATAAAAAGATCACTTACAAGTAATCTTATTACAATAATTATTGCTTCAAAGAAAATAAAAGTAACAAATACAGGATCTTAAAAACGTTGATGCTATTAAATCAATTTTCTTTAAATAAAGAAAATATCTAAAAATCTTATGCTTGGGAATATAAAGATAATATAATTAAATATGGCAAGAAATAAAAAAGAACGTACCGAAAATTACCTCAACCGGACTTATTATACTCCATATCGAGTTACCACCATCCGATGGTGGGGAATCAACGATTAACTTTCAATCTCAACCGGGAAAACAAGTTTAGGCCAAATCTTTTAATGAAACTATGAACTCCTTTATCTCAAATCTCAAACCCTTAAGTGAATATCTTTAACAACCTAGTTTGATATAAATACTTCTTCTCTTTTCTACCGCAACCCTATATTCTTAAAAAAAACCCAATGAGAGATGAGAGATCATGAGAGACACCATGAGAGAGATGACAACTCTTAATAGCCTAAATCCCTTAAGTTTTTTCACAATGTGGGAGAGAGAGAGATCTCAAATATGAAAGAGTGGGGTGTGCCCCCTTTGGGCTTTTATGAGACAGAGAAACTTTTATTAAGAGCGAGAGACAAATTTAAGGTGTAAGAGCTTTTGGATAGATACAATCTCTTTTTATAGGCTTTGAATAAGATTAGAGTTTCTTAGGGTTATCATTGGTTTGCTTCTTTTTGTGAGATTGAATATGAACCATTGATTTTGAGTGAGTTGTGGGGTGAGAGATTTGGGCCCTCCTTTTCATATATGGGTCATCAATATCATGAAAGGTGCTAGAACCTCTGTCCCCCATTCTTAAACCATTTCTCATCAAAAGAAATTAAATAAAATAATTACATTCATAATATAGTGCTTATCAAAATTATATTCACAAGCATTTTCATGCTTTCCAAAAAATCCTTTGAAAGCTTTTTCAAGGTAAAATCTTTCCAAAACACTTCAAGCTTTCTCTTCAAGTTAAATCTTGAACTAACACAAGGAAAGTTTCATTAGGGTGGGGTGTGCTAATCTAGGTGGTACTTCATGGGCCTCGTCTACAAGCAATGATGGGCCCATTAACATATTGGGCCTTCCATGCAATATTAAAATTATTAAAATTAATTATAGATTTTTAGAAATCCATAAAATCAAATTTGAATATTTAAATCAATCTAAAATCAATATCTTCGTTTTTATAAATCCAAATTTGATAAATAAAATATCCAGAGGTCTAACAAACATAATTAAATTCATTAAATGGGAAAATGATCTATATAGTCTAGGAATTAAATAAATAAACGTTACAGCAATTCACCTTCAATTGTGGACTACGGTTCACACTTGCTATATCAAACCGACCCAATGTTTCCTATGACCCACAGTCCATGCAGATGTCCATTAGTAGGTCACCAAAATCTGACCGATGAGCCAAAGGGTCGTAATCCTAATTTGTGGATTTTAAGTTTTACCATAGAGACGTATCAAGGTCGCCTGGACCTAATACGACTACAGCTCCTATGGCGCATAAGGATATCTCTCGTACATGCATAAGCTTCACCTTAAAAGGTGATTTGTTTTCTCGAAACGGCTATCATTATGCATGCAGTGTGATAGCTCGTGGATGAGGCTTTGATCCCCATCTCTGAAGGCCACTATTACACACAAGGGTCATACGGTCCCTCAGCTCATTCATCCGGACATACTCCGACTTTATTAAGAGATGACTAATTAGAACCCTTATCGGATAGTTTTCTATGCTTAAGTAACATAGGTTTTTTCCAATCAGGCAAACTTAACACGTTAAATACAGTCTAGTATCAGCAAATATCGTTTGCTTAATATAGTCCACAAAAGATCACATTCTCACTGAATTCAAGTTTCCCTCTATCATTTCATTTTACAAACACTCAGTAAAGCCTTTAATGATGACACTCACCTAACACTCTACTTTCGGATGGAGGATTTTCAACAAGTTGGGGACTACCAAATACTCTCATCAAATTATGGATCAGCACTCGTATGATCAACCTATCACATGGTCATCGCCACCTCTCTTTGAAAAACTATTGGAACCCCAAGAAGCAAAATCAGTGAGACCTGATTGATCATCACCTCTTCTGCCTAAAATCAAACCTAAGGAACATCTATGTGATAATTAGTGTCTTTGTCAAGACATTACGTGTCTTTTAAGATAGTATTCAATCAAAACTATGTCAGGACATGACGTGTTTTTTAATATGGTATTCAATCGATACTGTTTAAATAAGATAGATGTAAATTATAATAATCTTATTTTTACAAATAAAGTTCCAACCTTGCATATACTTCTTCCTTAAAAAAGAGTGAATTAACTCTTATACACCTTGAGACGGTGTATTTACATAAGATCATTGCCCCTGAAGCCATGCCTGGAATTACGTCTCATCTTTAGGACTTCTATTAAAATTTTAAAATAAATCCCAGGATTCCACCATATCCAGCAGTTAACAACATAAATAATTGCCATCGTTCAGTTTTTATATATACTTCTTGCCCCGCCTCGATTATAAAGGCATGACTTGGCATAAGTCAATCGTGCCACACAAATTCAAACGTTCCATAAGTCCACTAAAGAAATGTTATTACAAAAATGACCCCAACTTTTCCTTGTTACCAATGTTTTTTTTTTTTTGTTCACAAAATATCACTAGTTCAGATCTTCAGGGCTTGAAACGATAGCGATCTCAAATTGAAGTATAAGTCTTTTTATTGTGACTTCAAACCTTCATAATAAAAAATCAATTTTTCTAATTTTCACAAAGACGTCGAATATTCATGGTCCGGGTCAAATTATATCTATATGATTTCAGATCTTCAATATTCAAAGTCATTTCGACAAGTATTGACTTCAGACATTGAAAGTATAAAGTCATCACTTTATCATTCGTTAAATTGACTTCAGATCTTGAAAATTTCAAATCATATATGTTCTAAATTAAGACTTTGAGTTTTAATTTCAATTCTTCGATATTTAAAGCTAAGCACTTTAGACTTCAAAAAAATGCATAATAAGCGCATTTTGCATAATAAAAAAAAAAGAAAAAAAAAAATAGACGAAAGAATATATGCATGTGATAAAACAAAAATTACAAATGACTTTCGGAAGGGACATGATTGAATAGTACTTTTTATTTAACAATTACAACTGTTTCCAAAAAGACCTTGTTTAAGCCATGGCCAGGGGGAAGTTGCGTAGATGCTACCTCTTAATACTAATAAATAACAATAAAGAACGACTACATCCACTAGTGCTTGCCTTTACAAAAGTCGTAGTAGTTTTTTATTTATTCCATTAATTAAATACCATGACAAATGCTTGCATCGGTCCCGTCTCTTTCTGGCCAAAAAGTCCATATGTTTAAAAAAGTCGTAGTACAGTTTTTTATTTATTCCATTAATTAAATACCATGACAAACGCTTGCATCGGTCCCGTCTCTTTCTGACCAAAAAGTCCATATGCCTTTACAAAGACGAAGACGGAAGTACCACTTTAAATCAATGGTTTAAAAAACGGATGGGTGACTCGGATCGGGCTTCCAAAAAATCGATCCGAATCGGTGAATCGACGATTCGGATCGAGAATCGGATGAATCGTTCAGAATAAAATTTAAAAAAAATTCGAAAAAATTATTAAAATTCATTATAAATATTTTTTTTAGGAATTCAATAAGAAATGAGGGTACTCCATTAAGAATTTTTATGTTTTTGAATGAATATGCGAATATTAATATGTTTTTTCCCTGCATGAACCGCCATTTAGCATTTAATTTACATCACACAAAAGGATAAACATATAATTATCGTGGAATAAGTATATCAACATACATGGACTACAATAAAGCATAAAATTAGTAACATATGATCTAAATATAAAATGATAGACAACGTTATTGTTCTTCTTAGTCACGCTGGTGCCATTGATTGAATTCGTTTAACAATTCATTGATTCGATCTAAAAACGAATCATCGATATTAGCAGGCGTCAGACTATTCCCAAATCCCTGAGTGTTAGTGTTTTGTTGTGTTCCCAATCTAATATCCCCGAAGATTGTCCATCCTTCATGCTCACCTGCACTGTCGTGCTCATCCCTACACTGTTGCTGTTGGGACTCGATATGTG